TTTTTTTTTTTTAAACATAAAAACGATGGATCAGTGCTATTTTTATTGTGAAAAAACAACACACGAAGAAGAAGAAGAAGAAATATAATGATGATGATGATGATGATGATGATGATGACGACGACGACGACGACGACGACGACGACGACGACGACGACGACGACGACGACGACGACGACGACGACGACGACGACGACGACGACGACGACGACGACGACGACGACAGTAATAATAATAATAATAATAATAATAATAATAATAATAACAACTCGAGCAGAGTGGGTTTATTTGATGACAGATTGGGAGTGGAGGTGGTAGCTTTGATAGAGCAGTTTATTCTGGCAGAGCCTGAACGCGAAAGTCGTTACAAGTTTGGAATGGGATCACGTAACAGAAGGACTAGTATAGATGTGACGTTCGCGGCGGCCGGGTGACGAACTCCTTGGTTCACTCCCGGGGGTAGGCAGAAAAGCCACATTTCTCCCAGATTAACGGTACCTATAATGGAATCAAGGCCGAAGGGTTGCGATATCCATAGTACCGAGCCAAAGGGTTTACAACTCATGGTTTCTGGATACGTAAAAAAAAAAAAAAATCAAAGGAGAGGAAGGGAGGAGGAGTTGATATCATGTAAAGCCAGTCACTTTAACAACCCATTACTCAATCAGTCTTTGGCTTCAAACAATCCATCAGTCAATTCTTCTCTCTGCTTTCAGAAACCGGTCCATAATTCTTGAGGGATCGATCGATCGCTCTTGATCACTAGAAGCATGCCTCAATCATTTTAATGTACACGATCTCAGCCTGTGAAAGAGCTATCGGTGCTCGAACCCGGGTACTCCACTTAGCCGACACGGACCTTACCAGGAAACTGAAAGTAACGATCGATCATCTACTGCCTGTAGCTTTATGTTCACAGGCGTGGCTGTGTTGAGTACAGTTGCTGGCTCCATTAGTGCTGACGCTAGGGTAACTGAAGCCAACTGGGTGCAATGCTCTTACGACAAGAGTTGTGCTGCCGACTTCGCAGACGATTGATATCGCCTCGACAACGTTGCATTGTTGACTGAAATGGTTCTTGAGAACGTGCATGACGTTCCCATCCCGACAATACTCACTGCTCAACATTCATTTATCTAATCGTATGATCAACCTTTTTGTTTTTTGTTTCATATTGAATTATTTTTAAAAATAATTCCCTAATTCTTCTTCTCTATTATTTTTATGTTCGTAAGATAATTTGACAGCGTAAGTTGCTGACTGGGATCAAGTGTGCAGTGCAGCAGAAACCGACAGTGTATCCATACCTCAAAAGACTGATGGGACTACGCGGAGGGTCAGAAGAGTGTTGAACGCAAAGTGGAAGTGACGGGAGGAGGGTCAAGGCTGTATTGAACGCGCAGTGGAAAGGACTGGGCAGAGGATCGGGGCGGTGTTGAACGGGCAGTGGAAGGGACTGGTCAAAGGATCGGGACGGTGTTGAACGCGCAGTGGAAGGATACGCAGCTGACTTTTTATGTAATAACTCTTCATTGGCAACTGAGAAAGGGTATAGAGTACTGGGAGTGCCGCTAAAGCAGTGATGTTAGTTCCGGATGTCATTTCTCAACTTATTAATTCATTTATATCCCATTTTCTTTTGGCTCCCATCTCTCGCCTGGGTTCATGCCCCTTTACTGGTGCGGCTCTGGTTAGGGAATGCCTCTTCCAGTTTCACAATTGTCGACGTACCCTGGTTCGATTTTCTCAGATGATTTATGAATCTGTTGAAAGAAACGCCCCTGTTTTTGTGGCTTTTGGAAAGCGTTAAGGAAGTAGTCTCGTGCAGTAGTTAGTCTCGTGCAGTAGTCTCGTGAAGTAGTCTCGTGCCAGAGGTTAGGTCCTCAGCATGTCATATTACTGACGACAGCATTGGGCATGCGCTGCACGCTGTGTAGCCGACTAGCAATTAACTCTCTCTCTCTCTCTCTCTCTCTCTCTCTCTCTCTCTCTCTCTCTCTCTCTCTCTCTCTCTCTCTCTGTGTGTGTGTGTGGCTCACTGTATGTCTGTTTATCAACCTGCCTATCTACCTACCCTTATATCTGTCTGTCCGTCCGTCCGTCTGTCTGTCTGTTGTCTGTCTGTCTCTCCCTATAAAAAAAAAACCCACCTCTATAATCCCCCCCCCCCTTCCATCCCACGATCCCTAACTGGCATCTGTAAATAGTGGAAAAGAAAGGGGTTGGGGGAAGGCATGCACAAAACGACAGCAGTGCTAGCCACTTAAGCACCGTTGAGAATCAAGAACTTTCGATTAGTTGATACCGCCCGAATGCCTGTGATTAAAGCAGCATTCCCACAGCGCCGCTAGCAGGGTATTTTGTTACAACCTCCTATTTTGTTACACATTAGCGACATGCCGCACACACCCCATCATTACCTCCATCTACCGTAGGTGGTTCAGTCCGTTCTTAGTTTACCTTCGTCTACCGTAGGGGGTTCAGTCAGTTCGTAGTTTACCCCCGTCTACCGTAGGGAATTAAGTCCGTTCGTAGTTTACCTCCGTCTACCGTAGGGGGTTCAGTCCGTTCTTAACCTCCGTCTACCGTAGGGGATTCAGTCAGTTCGTAGTTTACCTCCGTCTACCGTAGGGGGTTCAGTCCGTTCTTAACCTCCGTCTACCGTAGGGGATTCAGTCAGTTCGTAGTTTACCTCCGTCTACCGTAGGGGGTTCAGTCCGTTCTTAACCTCCGTCTACCGTAGGGGATTCAGTCAGTTCGTAGTTTACCTCCGTATACCGTAGGGGGTTCAGTCGGTTCGTTCGTATAGAACTGTAATAATTGTTTACTTTTGCTTCTATAACTCCGGGTGTATTTTCGTTTAAAATTTTTGTTTATGTATCTCTCTTTGTTGTTTAATTTAATCAGTTCTTGACTCGTTCACTTATTTGTTCGTTCGTTCATTCATTCATTCATTCATTCATTCATTCATTCATTCATTCATTCATTCATTCATTCATTCATTCATTCATTCATCCATAACATAGAACTGGTACTATCAGCCATCGGACGTTGGGATTCATACTGAGGGTATAATGAAGCACATATAGAGTGCAATGAAGATAACCCAACGGACTAACTAATTCATTCGTCCATTTATTCACTCATTTATTTGTTTATATTTTGTTCGTAAATTTATTCTTTCATCTGTGTATTCATTGATTCGTATATTTATTCATTCAATTACTAATTTACCAATATAATAATTTATTCATTCTTAAATTTAATCAACCATCTTATTATTCATCTAGTTTTTTTTTTACTTCCTGCATTAATTTATTCATTTACACATTAATTTATTCATGCATACATTAATTTATTCATCCATGCATTAATTTATACTTTCATTTATTAATTTATTCATTCATGCATTAATTTATTCATTCATACATTAATTTATTAATTCACACATTAATTTATTCATTCATACAATAATTTATCCTCTCTTGCATTAATTTATTCATTCATGCATTAATTTATTTATTTATGCATTAATTTATTCATTCATACATTAATTTATTCATTCATGCATTAATTTATTCATTCATGCATTTGTTATTCCTTCATACATTAATTTATTCATTCATGCATTAATTTATTCATTCATGCATTAATTTATTCATTCATGCATTAATTTATTCATTCATGCATTAATTTATTTATTGATGCATTAATTTATTCATTCATACTTTATTCATTCATACATTAATTTAATCATTCATTATTGCTATCTTTAATCGAGACTACAACAAAGTTGCACTGGATTAGATGTCGATGTGTATGGATTATATCTCAATGAGTATGGATTATATATGTCGATGTGTATGCATTAGATGTCGGTGTGTATGCATTAGATGTCGGTGTGTATGGATTAGATGTTGATGTGTATTGATTATATGTCGATGTGTATGGATTAGATGCAGATGTGTATGGATTAGATGTCGATGTGTATGGATTAGATGTAGATGTGTATGGATTTGATGTCGATGTGTATTGATTTGATGTTGATGTGTATGGATTATATGTCATTGTGTATGGATTATATGTTGATGTATATGGATTACATTTCGATGTGTATGGATGCTGCTAGTTTCCGTTGATAGTTTCCGTAACACATTGGTGGTTAAATGGACTTTCCGGGAAGCTTTGGGATTCCCGCTGTTTGGGGTGCATAAAACTAAAGAACCTATGACTGTTATGGGGCTAACATGGACTCTGTTATTTCATCGCTCAATCGGTTGCACGACCCTTGTTTCTGTAGATTTCTACTTGGTATCTGCATCGTTGTGGTATTCTGTCTGTTAACAGCCGAGTTAAATGACTGAACCATTTTACGTTTTTTTTTCTATAATGACATATACCGCTGCTCCTTAAAAACGTTTTGGATTTATTTTTGATCTTCTGATTTCTCGATTAACTGAGGGCTATTCTCATGGTTGCTCTTCTTTTCTGTTTTTCATGCAGTAATTGATCAAATATGCTGACTTGCGAGCTGCAATAATGTTCTATCACATACGGCTATTTGAGTACAACTTACTACTTTACGATAGACAACCAACAGTATTTTCATGCACTGCAATTGCATTTGGCGTTTTTACGGCGGCTATAAATTTTTTCTTTGATTTCTTACATAATTATCTTTTCGTTTTCGTCCTAAAATATGTGTGTTTTTATTTTATTTTATAAATCTGTTGACTGACTGACTTTCTACCCCACCAGGACATCACACAAGCGATAAACACCCGATTACACAAAGTGCCACCATGCGGGTGAGGATCGCCGTGGAGAGGTCCCAGAAACCGCGTTCAGACAATTAGCCATATCTATGGCCTGCCTATATTGCGGCTCATGGCAAAAGCCAGAGTAAGGCTTAAAATTAAAAAGAAAATTCGTCCTAAAAAGGACGAAAGTCGATCTTAATGTTCATTATAAACCTGTTCATTTTGTTGCCTTTATGACAGAACCGAGCGAAAGAGAAAGAACGAGAACTGCAGCGAATCTTCGCTGAGAAAGAAAGACAACTCCAAGAAACCCAACTTGCCGTTGCCAAGAAACTGGGAGAGGCTGAGCACCAGATTACCTCCCTTCATAGTGGTGAGTACACTTGATTTCCTAATGGATGAATGAATGTGCAGTATACGACTTTAAATGTCTCTTTGCCGCCTTTGCTCAGGCCTACCCCACCTTTACGCGGAGGACGCTGTCCAGGCGAGTAATCCAGTGGCAGACTAGGGTTTCGACCTCCTGTGGGATACTGGTTGGCACTACAGACTAGGGTAAAGGTGAAATACTCCTCTGGTCACTGGTGAGTTGAGGGCTTGGTGCCACACAGAATTGGACATTTAATTGGCAATATCCGCCTTTTGTCTGTGCGCCCGCAGATGTGTGTTGTAAACAGAACATCTCTGTGTAGCATTATTACATACTTGCAGAAGACAAGATGGGTACCAGGATGGGCTGTCCTGTGAAAGTAAAGACAGCAGGCGGCGTAATGCTTACCACATTACCCTGATGGTCTGTAAAAATATGGGCGCTCTTCCTACGTGCCCGATACGCCTAAAGGCGTTAAAAGGGATCTTTACTTTACTTTATTTAGAAGACAAGAGGTTCTGGTGTAGAACTTTTACACTGTAGAGGTGTATGGGAGCATTTGAAGCTAGTTCACCAAATGAGAAAAAGTGTTTGTCAACAGCATTGTCACCTGGTGATGTTTCACATGTCATCTGGTGATGTTAAACATGTCATCTGGTGATGTTAAACATATCATCTGGTGATGTTAAACATGTCATCTGGTGATGTTAAACATGTCATCTGGTGATGTTAAACATGTCATCTGGTGATATTAAACATGTCACCTGGTGATGTTAAACATGTCATCTGGTGATGTTAAACATGTCATCTGGTGATGTTAAACATGTCACCTGGTGATGTTAAACATGTCATCTGGTGATGTTAAACATGTCATCTGGTGATGTTAAACATGTCATCTAGTGATGTTCCACCTGTCATCTGGTGATGTTACACATGTCACCTAGTGACGCTAAACGTGTCATCTGGTGATGTTACACATGTCATCTGATGATGTTACACATGTCACCTGGTGATGTTACACATGACACCTGGTGATGTTACACATGTCATCTGGTGATGTTACCCATGTCACCTTCTGATTTTCCACAGGTCACCTGGTGATGTTCCACATGTCACATGGTGATGTTCCACATGTCACCTGGTGATGTGATGGTGACATCACACATGTTGGTGATGTAACACATGTCATCTGGTGATATATTACACTGTAGAGGTGTATGGGAGCATTTGAAGCTAGTTCACCAAATGAGAAAAAGTGTTTGTCAACAGCATTGTCACCTGGTGATGTTTCACATGTCATCTGGTGATGTTAAACATGTCATCTGGTGATGTTAAACATGTCACCTGGTTATGTTACACATGTCGTCTGGTGATGTTACACATGTCATCTGGTGATGTTACACATGTCACCTGGTGATGTTTCACGTGTCACCTTCTGATGTTCCACAGGTCACCTGGTGATGTTCCACATGTCACCTGATGATGTAACACATGTCACCTGATGATGTAACACATGTCATCTGGTGATGTTCCGCATGTCATCTGATGATTTTTCACATGTTATCAGGTGATTTCACACATGTCATCTGGTGACGTCACACATGTTGGTGATGTAACATATGTCATTTGGTGATATAATACATGCCATCTGGTGATGTTACATGTGTCACGTGGTGATGTTACACCTGTCATCTGGTGATGTTACACCTGTCATCTGGTGATGTTACACCTGTTATCTGGTGATGTCACTCGGGTCATCAGGTGATGTTACCCATGTCATATGGTGATGTTACACGCATCACATGGTAATGTTACACATGTCATTGTCCATGTTACACATGTCATTGGCGATGTTACACATGTCATTGGCGATGTAACGCATGTCCACTGGTTATGTTAAACATGTCACCTGGTAATGTTATGCATGTCACCTGGTGATGTTACACATGTCGTCTGGTGATGTTACACATGTCATATGGTGATGTTACACATGTCACCTGGGGATGTTACACCTGTCACCTGATGATATTACACCTGTCACCTGGTTATGTTGCACGTGTAACCTGGTGATGTTACCCATGTCACCTGGTTATGTTACACATGTCATCTCATGATGTTAAACATGTCACCTGGTGATGATACACATGTCATCTTGTGATGTTAAACATGTCACCTGGTGATGTTACACATGTCACCTATTGATGCTACACATGTCATCCAGTGATGTTACGCATGTCATCTGGTGATCTTTTTCTTCTTCTTCTTCTTTCTCTTCTTCTTCTTTGTTCTTCTTCTTCTTCTTCTTCTTCTTCTTCTTCTTCTTCTTCTTCTTCTTCTTCTTCTTCTTCTTCTTCTTCTTCTTCTTCTTCTTCTTCTTCTTTTTTTTTTCTTCTTCTTCTTCTTCTTCTTCTTCTTCTTCTTCTTCTTCTTCTTCTTCTTCTTCTTTCTTCTTCTTCTTCTTCTTCTTCTTCTTCTTCTTCTTCTTCTTCTTCTTCTTCTTCTTCTTCTTCTTCTTCTTCTTCTTCTTCTTCTTCTTCTTCTTCTTCTTCTTCTTCTTCTTCTGCTGCTGCTGCTGCTGCTCCTCCTCCTCCTCCTCCTCCTCCTCCTCCTCCTCCTCCTCCTCCTCCTCCTCCTCCTCCTCCTTCTTCTTCTTCTTCTTCTTCTTCTTCTTCTTCTTCTTCTTCTTCTTCTTCTTCTTCTTCTTCTTCTTCGTCCGTTTTTTCCTCCCCCTACTCTGCTGCTGCAACTGCATTCATTATTAAATGGGCGGGTTGGACACTTTTTTGGGGGGGGGCAGTTTGGCTGCGTTATTTGCACCTTGGTTAGTCGCCTTTTACAATTCGCTTGTTGGTGGTGGGTCTAGTCTCAGAATTGGGGTCCTTGAACCCACACGAAGAATTTCCCTAATCGAATATAATTGTATATTTGGGTGGGGTTAGTTAGAAAGGCACTTGTTCTGATTGTCTGTACATTTGTTCTGATTGTCTGTCTGTACACTTGTTCTGATTGTCTGTCTGTACACTTGCTCTGATTGTCTGTCTGTACACTTGTTCTGATTGTCTGTCTGTACACTTGTTCTGATTGTCTGTCTGTACACTTGTTCTGATTGTCTGTACACTTGCTATGATTGTCTGTCTGTACTCTTGTTCTGATTGTCTGTATACTAGTTCTGATTGTCTGTATACTTGTTCTGATTGTCTGTATACTAGTTCTGATTGTCTGTATACTTGTTCTGATTGTCTGTATACTTGTTCTGATTGTCTGTACACTTGTTCTGATTGTCTAGTCTGTACACTTGTTCTGATTGTCTGTATTTGCTCAATCGGCAGCTCTGGAATCGGTCAAGTCTGAGCTGTTTGAGGTGAAAGCCAAATACGATGAGGCAACTTCCGCCAAGTAAGTTGTTGTTGTCTGCCTGTTTGTCTGTCAGTCTGACATAGGTCTGTCTTATTGCATGTCTGTTTGTCAGTCTGACATATGTCTGTCTCTTATGGCATGTCCGTCTGTCAATCTGCACACATTTCTGTGTCTAATGGCATGTCCGTTTGTCAGAATTTGTGTGATTGTTTTTCATTTTGTTAAACCTAATTCTATGTCATTTCCACAATGGATGTTGTTTACAGTATACCACTGTTGTCTTTATCAACATTATCTGATAACTCTCAAATATTCTCCACGGTGCCACTTTCGTACTGCTGTCTTAAACATTTGTCAAGGCAACGTTGAAAGATCTGTCTAAAACTGATAAAGAAGAGCTTAATATCACTGTAGATGAAATAATTTGCACACTAAAAAATAAAAAAACAGCAGTGTCCAGAGTTGGATATAACTATAAAGAACTGTCCAAACTGTGCAATGAATACAACAACAGCATCAGGATAGGCACCGTCAATGAAACATGGCTACACAATTATTTAAAACCTCTGCCAAGCCTGGCAGAGAACCATCTTTTGTAAGCAGCAAAACACTATTGGAAAACTTCTAGGAAAAAAACAAAAACAATAATGGCACGGAAAATTACTCATAAATGAGAACAAAAAGCTAGACTACTATCAATGTTGGTAGGATATTGACCACATTTGGATACGATATCTGTGAAGGTTTCCATGCAGGGTGGAAACGTGTGCTGTGATGTTAGAATGGGAAGATGCATACAGCAAGGTGTGCTGTGATGTTAGAATGGGAAGATGCATACAACAAGGTGTGCTGTGATGTTAGAATGGGAAGATGCATACAGCAAGGTGTGCTGTGATGTTAGAATGGGAAGATGCATACAGCAAGGTGTGCTGTGATGTTAGAATGGGAAGATGCATACAGCAAGGTGTGCTGTGATGTTAGAATGGAAAGATGCATACAGCAAGGTGTGCTGTGATGTTAGAATGGGAAGATGCATACAACAAGGTGTGCTGTGATGTTAGAATGGGAAGATGCATACAACAAGGTGCCCTTTAAAAGACACGTACACCAGCTGCTAAATAACATTTCCCTGACACATTAACTGGAAAGCAGCATGGTTCTTCCTGAGACAGCTTGTGGAAGATGGATCTCTGAGGTGAAAACCGTACACCCAGGATTGCCCCCAGAGATCACCTTTATCCCCAGTCCTCTTCAACATTTTCACTATAGAGGTAACAAAATATCAAATCCATGGTGAAGGAAGAACTTTCTCATACGCTGATGACATACTTTTATACCGCGATGGCAAGAACAGGGGCAGAATTGTAGAATTCCAGAGGTAACTGTGATGTAGCAGATTGACGTCAAACTTCTGGAGTGCAGATTTACCCGGCAAAAGCACCACATAATTCACACAAAGGTACATGTGAATGGCCAGAAGATAGCCAGGACTGAACTTTTAAAATAACTGAGAGTAAGTTTTGATTGGAGTCTTAGCTGCAGATTCCAAGTTGAAAATATGATCAATAAGGTCAGAAATGGTTTGGCTGCAATGAGAGTTATGGCTGACATGTGTGGTCAACAAAGGCTCCTTGTCATCTTCTACCAGGGTTTGATCCTCTATGAGTACACACTGGCAGTCCTTATCCCCAACAAGGCACACATCGACAGACGAACATGATCAGAATGAATCAGGGCGCAGCATACTTGGCTGCAACAAACCGTTAGGCGTCACAAACTAGCTTCATCATTTATTGTTCTGTCATTACTGGGCAGGGTATCCTTGCTAAACATCAAACCATGTAGTCTATATGTGGTTGGATCCCCTCAGATCATCATATGCTGATGCTATAGGTCGCTTGGGAATCGTTCTGACTAAATGGCCAAGCCGTTGTGATTCTTTTGTAAAATCGTTACCTGCCGTTGTCTCCTGGAGTTTCTCCGTAGTTGGTCCTCCCCCCCCCCCCCCTAAAATCTTTTTTGTCTATATGGTTTTTCAATTTCTCAAAGCTTACCTTATATAATTAATGTTTAATCAACTAATTCAGTATCTTTACACGAATGAAGTATTGTATTTGCCCGGCACAACTTTGAACAGGCAACACATGTTAGTCAGTCAAACCGTTCCTTGCTCCTATAACAACCCTCCGGACAACTTCTCGATCACAAGCCATTTTTCCCGTGTCCGATACACCCATCTGGAAATCATCCGCCACATCCTGCACCCATCTTCTCTTTGGCCTTCCTCTTCTCTTTCCAGGTATATAAGGGTCAGTTGCGTATCCTTTACAGGACTTTGCAGAACCAACCCCAACAGCCCCTGGCTGTTGTGTGGTTTTTCTAGGCAAATTTACTCAAGTAGTTTGCCATTGCTTTCTGGACTATCGGCTTTCTTGATACCACTGTCGAAACCAACGCAAGGCGCATAGCCCGCAGCTGGGATCGAACCCGGCATCCCGGCATTACGAAGCGTTCGCATCGACTTAGCTACAGAGCCGACTTCCTGGTATATACCCCACCATTATTGCTCTCTGAACTTTCGTGACGTTTCAAGCGACTAGAATATTTCCATTGTCTGTGTTTTATCGTCTTTAATAGCCAACCTTCCTCAGTATTCAGTTCTTGAAGTATGGAAGCATTTGTTCTTTTCTTTACTCATGATATTCTTAGAACCCGTCTATAACATTACATTTAAAGGCATTTATGCGCTGTTCAGCTGGTTTAGTAAGTGCCCAGGTCTCACATGCGTGTGTCGAAATGGGAAAGATGCATGCTCTTAGAAATTTAATCTTTGTAGTTCTGTCTGTCAGTAATATATTGGTGAGAAAAAAAGTCTGCAGTAAATCAACATTAAAAAGAATAATAAATTATTTTACATCAGTAGCATTTATATATTCATGACGTCCCCAGGTTGGATGCAATTTTGTTGTTGTTTGAAGCCCCATCCTGGCTTCTGTCGGAGCCCTAGTCATAGATATGGCCTAGCGGCTGGAAGAGGGTTTTGGGACCTCTCCACGGGTGATCCTCATCCGCATGGTGGTACTTTGTGTCACCGTGTGTTTATCGCTTGTGTGATGTCCTGGTGAGGTACAATTACCTACCTACCTACCTACATCAGTAGCACAGTAGAAGTCCGTAACATCGATTCTCTCATCCACAATTGAACGTGCAATCAATAATACATCTATTCCATCTATCCTGCAAACACATCCGTCCAGGTAACATCTTGATATTAAGTATACCATAAGTGACTTTTTTTTTGTAGGAAGAGGAAGTGCAGTTGAAACAAATTTCATGTTATGGCAGGGCAGACCTGGCGCTTAAGCCAGAGCAGCTGGTCTAGAAGGGAAGCTTCGACTGGCGCAGACTTCTTCTTCTTCACGTTCACCAGCTGTAAACTCTGGCGGAAGGTTCTGGTTGCTCGTCCACTACTGAACTGCAGTCCTGCTCCAGAACCTGAGTGTTGCGTGTGCATCAGTTTTACAGATCTCATTCTCTTGAATACAGACTGTTGGTTCCTTGCCTCTCCGGCAGATGCACTCCGACTTCAAAGAAAGCTTCCCAATTAGTCGACTCTTACGACATGCTTTTGGGGAGGCAGTGGGTCTATTCTTGTTTTCCCCACAATGGGGCCCCGGAACCCACACGGGGGTGGCGCAGACTGAGCAGGGCTCTTCTGTTCCGCCAGCTTCTGCAGCGTACTTTGTCACCAACGTATTGGTGTTACCTTCTCGTTAGATTAAACAAGGCAGACCGAGTGAGCGATCATGATGCGTGGGTAGCATAATCTTTGCAGTACTACACAGACTTTGCGCTTTGAAAAGAAGGAATATTGTTCACATACCACCCCAGAACACAGTATAACACTGTCCTCTGCCATGGCGGCAGCAAGTCACTTCGAGCGGCATGTATTGGGAATCGATATTACGACCTTTAGTAAGCTGTCAGTAACACATCGATATATTATCAATAATACATCTGTTTAATTGTAACCATAGAAACACTCATATCAGTAACACGTCAAAGCCTGTTATTTAGTCTGCCGTGTTACCTCAAGCGGCCTACCGTGGAACCGGATATCATGTCTCGCTCTGTCGTTAAAGTTGCAAGTAAAACAAACAATACATCTTCACACATCCACAATCAATAATGCACCCATAATACTTCAGCAATAAATCAACATAAATCAATACTACATTTATTCACTCGATACCCACAAATCAAAAATTTAAAAATCACATTCGTGCTTAGTGTACTTCAGTCACCTGAAGCGGCCAGTGGAGTGAGTCGATATCACTTCTGGCTGAACCGTTACAGTTGAAGATGTACGTGCCCATATAATATTTTTGAGTGACTGACGGTTTCATTGCGTCTTGAAAAGTTGCGATCTTTGGAGTTGGAGTGTTGTGTTGGAGAGAGAGAGAGAGAGAGAGAGAGAGAGAGAGAGAGAGAGAGAGAGAGAGAGAGAGAGAGAGAGAGAGAGAGAGAGAGAGAGAGAGAGAGAGAGAGAGAGAGAGAGAGAGAGAGAGAGGGGTGGGGGGTAATACGGATTGGCGGTTGTGGAGATTCAACGATACAGCTGGGTTAACAATGGTGCGGGTGTTCAGTGTAATTTTCTTCTTTCTCTTCTTCTTCTTCTCCTCCTCCTCCTCATCGTCCTCCTCCACCTAGTCGTCATCGTCTTCTTCTTCTTCTTCTTCTTCTTCTTCTTCTTCTTCTTCTTCTTCTTCTTCTTCTTCTTCTTCTTCTTCTTCTTCTTCTTCTTCTTCTTCTTCTTCTAATAGCGGTTAGCACGTTGTGTTGTGGGTTACCGCAAGGCTGCGACATATACACCTTTCAGCAAACCACTAATTAGTATTTTACGACATGCTTGTTAGGGGCTAAGGGTCTGTTCCCACCCCCTCCCCCCCCCCCCCACACAAATGGGGTTCCTGAAATGAACCTCTCATAAAAACGGATGGCAGATAATTTCCAGAAATGTCTGTAAGTTGGCCAAGAAG